ATATGTATATATAAACATATATACACATATATCTTTTGTTGTCTTTTGACTTCCATATGTGTCGCACACATATACATAAATGTACATACACACACACAAAATGCTTGGAAATTTGGTGAAGTCTGATTTTTCAGTGTTTGCCTTGTATGGATCATTGCTTACTTCTACAGTCTGGGGATTTCCCTCAGCATAGTGCTTTGTAGTTTATTTTTTATGTTTAAATCCACCATCCATGTTGTGCTGATTTTTGTGTGATGTTAGGTTCAGTGCTGGTTAATTTTGTTTCTTTTTTTGCCACAAAACATCCAATTATTTTTGCAGCATCTATTTACGTTTTATTAAAGCAGAGATAATGGCTTGGCTAGATGGCTCGGTTGATAAATGTGCTTGCCACACAGGCCTGGCAACTTGAATTTGACCCAGAACTCACATAAAGGTAGAAGGAAGGGAACTGTGCTGGCTAGTTTTATGTCAACTTGACATAAGCTAGAGTCATCAGAAAGGAGGGAGCCTCCGTTAAGAAAATGCCTCAGTAAGATCTGGCTGTAGGCAAGCCTATGGTGCATTTTCTTAGTTAGTGATTGGTGGGTGGGGCCACCCCTATGCTGATGTTCCTGGGTTCTATAAGAAAGCAGGTTGAGCAAACCATGAGGAGAAAGCCAAAGGAACACTCTTCATGGCCTCTGTATCAGTTCCTGCCTCCAGGATCCTGCCTGGCTTGAGTTCCTGTCCTGACTTCCTTCAAAGATGAACAGTGATGTGGAAGTGAAATTTGAATAAACTCTTTCTTCCCCAAGCTGCTTTGGTCATGGTGTTTTATCATAGCAATGGTAACCCTGACTAAGACAAGACCTTACTCCACAGTCTTGTCCTTGGACTTCCATATGTGTGTGGAATAAGTATTTGCCTTATTTTAATTATGTGTATCTTTGTGTGTTTGTGGTAGGTATTAGCATGTGGTAGTCAGAAGAGGGTGTGGTATTGCCTGAAGCTGGAGTTACGTGGTATTGAGAACTAAGTTAGGGTCTACTACTGATCCATCTCTCCATCCCCAAAAGTTTTACTTCTTAATGCTTAAGTTTGACAAAGCATATAATATGCTTTCTATCTTGGACATGGTAGTTTTTATCTCTAGAATTTTTATTTTTATTGCGTTTATATCAAACAGTCTTCATATCTCTTGTTTTTTCTTGAACGTATGGGATACAGTATCAGCGTAACATTAGAATGTGTTAGAACACTAAGGTTTTGTGTATTAATTCTATCTGTGTCATCTCTAGATCAATTTTGATTAACTCCAATTTCTTTTTTTATTGATTTTATTGAGCTACACATTTTTCTCTGCTCCCATCACTGCCTCTTCCCTCCCCCTAAGCCCTCTCCCATGGTCCTCATGCTCCCAATTTACTCAGGAGATGTTGTCTTTTACTACTTCCCATGTAGATTAGATCTATGTATGTCTCTCTTAGTGTCCTCATTGCTGTCTAGGTTTTCTGAGTTTATACTTTGTAGGCTGGTTTTCTTTATGTTTAAAAACCACTTATGAGTGAGTACATATGATAGTTGTCTTTCTGGGTCTGGGTTACATCACTCAAGATGATGCTTCCCAGCTCTATTTTCCTGCAAATTTCAAGATGTCATTTTCTCTGCTGTGTAGTACTCCGTTGTGTAAATGTACCATATTTTCAATATACATTCTTCAGTCAAGGGGCATTTAGGTTTTTCCAGGTTCTTTTTATGACAAACAATGCTGCTATAAACATAGTTAAGCAAATGTCCTTGTGGTATGATTGAGCATCCTTTGGATATATACCCCAAAGTGGTATTGCTGGGTCTTGAGGAAGGTTGTTTCCTAATTTTCTGAGAAATCACCATACAGATATCCAAAGAATTGTTTTGGAAATCCTGTTTTTTTTTTGGTTTTTCATATGAAGTTGAGTATTGTTCTTTCAAGGTCTGTGAAAATTTTTACTGGGTTGATGGTCATTGCATTGAATCGGTAGATTGCTTTTAATAAGATTGCCATTTTTACTATGTTAATTCTACCTACCCAAGAGCATGGGATCTCTTTCCACTTTCTGGTGTCTTCTTCAATTTCTTTCTTCAAAGATTTAAAGTTCTTGTCATACAAGTCTTCCACTTGGTTGGTTAGAGATACTCTGAGATATTTTATGGTATTTGTGACTATTGTGAAGGGTGATGTTACTCTGATCTCTTTCTCACCTCATTTCTCATCTGTGTAAAGGAGGGCTACTGATTTTTTTTAGTTAATCTTGTATCCTGCTACATTAATGGAAGTGTTTATGAGTTGTAGAAGTTCCTTGGTAGAATTTTTGGGGTTGCTTAATGTAAACTATTATATCATCAGCAAACAGTGAGAGTTTGACTTTTTTTTTTCCGATTTGTATCCCTTTGATCTCCTTTTGTTGTCTTATTGTTCTAGATAGGACTTCAAGAACTATATTGAATAGATATGGAGATAAGTGGACAACCTTGTCTTGTTCCTGATTTCAGTGGAATTTCTGGGAGTTTCTCTCCATTTAGTTTTATGTTGGCTGTTGACTTGCTGTATATTGCCTTTATTTTGTTTAGGTATGTTCCTTGTATCCCTGCTCTCTCCAAGACATTTATCATGAAGGGATATTGTATTTTGTTGAAAGCTTTTTCAGCATCTAATGAGATGATCATGTGGTTTATATTTTTTCAGTTTGTTTATATGGTGGATTACATTGACAGATTTTCTTATGTTGAACCATTCCTGCATCTCTGGGATGAAGCCAACTTGATCATGGTGGATGATGGTTTTGATGTGTTCTTGGATTTGATTTGCCAGTATTTTATTGAGTATTTTGGCATCAATGTTCATGAGTGAGATTTGTCTGTAATTCTCTTTCTTAGTAATGTCTTTGTGTGTTTTGGCTATCAGTGTAATTGTAGACTCATAAAAAGAGTTTGGCAATGTTCCTTCTGTTTCTATTATGTGGAACAATTTGAGGAGTATTGGTAGTAGTTCTTCTTTGAAAATCTTGCAGAATTCTGAGCTGAAGCCATCTGGTCCTGGGCTTTTTTTGGTTGGGAGACTTTTGATGACTGTTTCTATTTTTTTAGCAGTTATAGGTCTATTTAATTTGCTTATCTGGTCTTGATTTAATTTTGGTAAGTGATATTTATCCAGAAAGTTGTCCGTTTCCTTTACATTTTCCAATTTTGTGTATTACAGTTTTTCAAAATATGACCTGATGATCCTCTGTATTTCCTCCGTGTCTGTTGTTATATCCTCCTTTTCATTTCTGATTTTGTTAATTTGGACATCCTCGCTCTGCCTTTTGGTTAGTTTCGATAAAGGTTTGTCTGTTTTGTTGATTTTTCTTGAAGAACCAAGTCTTCGTCTCATTGATTCTTTGTATTGTTTTCTTTGTTTCTATTTTGTTGATTTCAGCTCTCGATTTGATTATTTCCTGCCGTCTAGTTCTCTTGGGTGAACTTTCACTTCGTGGTGGCCTAACGTGGCAACCTGACATTATGTCACAAGCTTACATCCTTCATTCGTCCATCTCACCCCATCGCTTGGGTGTATCACATCATTGCAGTAGAAAGGGTGTGTGTGCACAGTGCAGGAAGCTATTTTGAGAAAGATCCCATTCAGGTAACTTTTATTGTAGTTGTTCCTAATAGCTGTTGTCATTAAGTTCTTATTGTGTCTAATTGATAAATTGTCCATAATCATAGTTTTATATATAGAGGAAAGAACATAGTATATTTAAGACTTGGTACTGTCCATAGGGCTAAGCATCTCCTTGGGGTCTTGGAAAGAAGTCTCATGGGTTGGGGGCAACTATAGCTCATTTCAAGGTTTCTTTGCACCCATAACCCCTTTTTGTTAGAGATTTTTACACAACTATTGGTATTCGGGTATATAAAATAGGCAAATAAATGAAAGACAATTCTAGTAAAGCAATAGATTTAAAATAAAATTTATTCTTTTAGATGCACAATTTTTTTTACTACCTATTAAAAAGAAAGCAAATTAGCATCCCAATGAGATGGTAGGACTGCTTATTCTTACATAAACCACTAAATCATGGCTGAGTATTTGATACTGCAGTGTGTAGAGAATCTTCAGCTGGCTTCAGGCCTGATGAATATTTTTGATTTTACAATTGCCAGGGGTGGTGGTACATGTCTGTAACTCTACTACCTGAAATTGAGGTCAGAGGACCAGAATTTAAGGTCACCTGCAGCTCTATTGCTAGTTCTAGACTAGCCTAGGCTACATGAAATCCTGTCTCCAAAAAATATCAAATGAAAACTAAAATAAAAAAAAGCAATTGTTGGTACCGAGAACACCACTTCACATAAATACATAGTACAGAATAGTAAACTTATATTTCAGGCTATTTAAGAAATTGTTGGAAATACTTTCTAATCCTTAGCCAAAATTCCTGTATTGATTTTTAGTGAAAACTAAATCAAATAGCAATTTGAAAAATCAAACAGTCTAAGACAATGCAATTCAAAGCTGGGCTCACTTGAACTTACCGAGGAGCGGTGATGGGAAAATAAGAAAAGCCTTTGTTTTATGTAATTAAATCAGGATGTTTCTACAAAAGTGGAGAACTTTGCACAATAAAAACTCCACGGCTTCCAGCATAGAATCATCTGGAATCTGAGCAGAGGGGGTTGTAGGCAGCATTCATTGGCGTCGTATGCCAACATGTGCAGTGCGCAGTGTGTGTGAGTGTTTTGGGAAACAAGGTCACTGTTTCCCAAGGAAGCTGGGTCACTGCACAACATGGGCACATGCTTTCAGAAATATGCCCGGTTCACAACACGTTGAGTTTCCTATTGGTTTGTGTTCACTGTGTATTCAGGAAGCTTTTACTGTTGCTCAGTTTTTCACAACCCCCTCATTCGGTTACCCAATGCCACATGGGATGTGACCCAGTGTGAGGAGCTGTGCACTATTTTACTTTACTATTTTCTTCCTGGCAGGTAAAGACCTCTTTACAGCCTCCTGGCCTGTGTTGTAGCCTGGGAGGTCCCCTGCAGGGCAGAGGCCACCAAAAGTCCAACTGCTTCACTTTCCTTCCTTAAAGAATCACTGCCCTCGCTCACCTGCTCCATGTCTTGCAAGGTATTGCTTCAGGAATTTGGGGGAGGGGGTTCATGGAGGGGCAAATCTGATCCTTCTTACTTCATTTTGGCTAACCATTGAAATTGTATTTATTGCGTTCTCATCTTATTGTTGTTCAGAATCTTATTTTTTATAAACTTGACTGTTTTTCTCAATGTAGTAGAGGAAACTTGCCTATGTGAATCTCGTCCTTGCATCCTGGACTCTTTATCGGCTTCATAAAAGCACTCACCTTTCCCTGGGTGATACCTGCATAGTTGCTATGTCCATTTCTTTAATCTCTTTTTTACCTAACACAGTGCTTGCCTATGGAATAGTGAGTGATTTGCCTTAACGAAGGTCCCACTCAATCCAAACCTATTCAGCTATCTCTCTGAACTACTTTAGAAGGGTCAGGTGTTTTATGGTATCAATTCAGGAGTTAGGAATGCAGGCTGCAGTGAGTAGCAGCTTTAAGGGAGAAAAATCCTCCCTTCAGGGACTTTTAAAAAGAAATATTCTGGGAGCTAGAAAGCAGGGAACTTTGAAGTCGGTTTTGTTCACTGCTGTATCATGTGCCTCTAAACCAGCAATGGGCATGCGTTCACTCTTCGGCAAGGCTGAACTGGAGAATAAGTGAAGTTCACACATGTTCGAAGGCTCATTGTTCTGGGACATGGAATGATGAGCAAAACATCAGTCCAGTAAAGAGCTGTGCAGGGGGGCTGGGAAAGGTTGATTTTCTCTCTGTGTAAGTTCTCCAGCAGAATGGTTCTGACAGGTGTTGTGAAGTGATTTCTTCTGAAGCAGCTTGGGAAGACTCAAGTTCTAAAGACTTAAGAACTTTGGAGGGGAGGCTCTTTAGGGTTCAGGAAGTAAACAATTCAAAAGCTTCAGGAAGTCCCTGAAACAGACTAGATGCTACTAGGTCCCTCTGTTTTCAAGATCATTGTCTTAGAGTTTTACTGCCTTGAAGAGACACCATGACCATGGCAACTTTTATGAAGAAAAACATTTAATTGGGGATGGTTTACAGTTTCAGAGGTTTGGTCCATTATTGTCGTGGTAGGAGGCATGGTGGTTTGAGGCAGACATGGTGCTGGAGAAGGAGCTAAGAGTTCTGCGTCTGAATCTTCAGGCAGCAGAAAGAGACTGCCACACTGGGCATGGCTTGAGTATCTGATACCTCAAAGTCTGTCCCCAGTGACACACTTCCGCCAACAAGGCCCCACCTCCTAATAGTGCTTCTCCCTATGGGTCTGTGGGGGCCATCTTTTATTCAAACCACATAGTCATAGAAACAAAAAGGCTGCTAAGGAGACTAAGACTAGTCGAACTGCCTAGACGAGACACTGCAATCTGCCCAGTTGTCTGCAGGCTGTGCAGTGCTCTTTAGGCTTTAGCTCTCACCAGTCAGTACCCATGCCGACACCTTTGACATCGGTTCTGCCGTAAGTGACCCCTCACTCTCATACTCCCATAAGGAATCTCAGTAAGCTCATTGGTTCATCAAGTTGGGTGTTGGTGGTTATCCTTACTTGGTCTGTGTCTGTTCCCTATCTGGTGTGAGAAGACGCTTCTTCATGTCTCCCCAGGAACAGTGTCACACAGCAGCAGAATGATGTGGGCAGAACTTCGGATTCAGGCAAGAACACACCAGACAACGGGAGAATCTACGGCCTCTTGCATGGGAAGGTTCTCTTTGGGCTTAGCACAGCTAAGGGATGCTTCCCACTGGAGTCCTTTATACATTCTGTATCTTTCTTCCAGCTCTTCTCTGGAATCGTGTCTAAGGGAAAATTACCGAGCTCATGTGCCCCTCCCCCAGCTGGGTTCTAGTGACTGCCTTTACAGGTAGCAGTGCTTGTCTGATGGAAATGGGAGAGGACCATGCCTCTGCTGGAACTCCCCGCTCCCCCATGGTTCGTATTATTTGTCAATTTGACAGAATCTAGAATTACCTGGGAGAAAGGGCTCCGGGCATGCCTGGGAGGCACTGTCTTAATTACCTTAATTGAGGTAAGAGGACTGTCCCACTGTGATTGGCACCGGTCCCTGGCTGGGATCCTGGATTGGATAACCAAAGGAGACAAACAGAGCAACAGGATGCATGCATTGCTCTCTGTCCGTGCTAAGGAATAGGATGCAAGCAATGTCTTCAAGCTCCTGCCTTGATTTCCCCACTGCAAGGGACTGCCTCTTGAACTGTAAATTAAAATCAATCTGTCTTCTGTGAAACTATTTCTGTCTAGTTACTGTTGTGTAGTGACAGGAAGAGAAACTTAAGTCCCCAAGATGTGACCAGGAGGGCAGGCACAATACCTGCCTAGCTGCTCTTCCTCAGGCCCCAGTGGCCTGTTGGTTTTGGAAGCCATGGGCTTCAGAGAGTCTGTGTTAACTACTCTCGTATGTTTATCCTTCCTCCAGTGTGCTTCATGTAGATGCCTGTTGCCCAATCTCTAACATTTTCATATACTTTTATTTAGTATCCAGACTCCATGTAGTATTTGCTTTGATGTCCTAGTATCGCTCAGCCTCCTTCTGAGCTGATGGGCTACAGTAACCACTGGTGCCAGGCTCCAGTCATGCTCCTTGGGCTCCTGGAGCCTGTCTGGCAATGGAACTGAGGGAGAAGGAAGGCTGGAGTGGCAAGCTCCTAGGAGACTCCCACTTAATAATAATAAGACTCTGACCCTAGCTGCTTTCTCGGGGTGTCTGCCAAAAGTCACAATGGGGTCAAATTAATTGGCTGAGGAGGCCTGAGTGTAAAGGCAGAAAGCAGCTGGGCAACTGTCTAATGAGACAGAGCCCAGCAAAGGTGCTGGGGTTTCAGTCAACATCCAAGACCTTGAGAAGAACGATGAGCTGTCTGTGGTATACAAGAGAAATGATTGCACCTCCAGGGGCCCGATGTGTGACAAAGGCCGGAAGAACTGAGTCCATTTGCCTGCAGTTGGGCATCGTGAGACGGGGAGAATGCTCTGAAGAAGACCCAGTAAGGAGAGTGGTCCAAGAGAGATGGATTCTACAGGGGAAGAGAAGAGCTGGGGACTGTGAAGAAGGGAGGAAGAAGCCTTGGAGAAGAGGAGTTTGTGGGTAGGGCGAGATCTTCCAGAGCCTTGTGAGGCTCCAAGGGCCATAAAAAATGAAGGTCCCAAGGTCAGGCTTGCTGTATCCCTCAGTATCATGTGCCCATAAGGTCAGACCTGGGGACTCTGCCACAGTGTCTTCCCGATAGCACACACTGGAGAATAACACATACAATCGCTCAAGTGGCCTTTTCTTCCACTGTTTGGACCTCAGCAGAATGCACAGCTAACTCAGTTCACTTCCAGGACAGCATGTACTCTGCATAAGTTGAGTATACCAGAAAGACTGCTACTTTATAAGCCTCAAATAGGCTAGAAAGGACCGCTCTGGGATACGGTTATTTAAAGATGGTTAAATGCTCTTTAGGAAACCACTGCCTTAGTACCTGCTTTTATTCCCAGTGCCAATGCCTCTGGCTGCAGAACCCGCTTTATGTTGCATTTAATAGAAGCAATATGCCCCTGGGAAATGAGGCTCTGAGGTCCCAGACTGAGCCTTCGAGGAGTTCCAGGAGGTCGAACTGTTGGGGACGTGCCTCCAATTCCACTTCCAAAATTGCAGTGTAAAGCTCATCAAAGAAGAGATGAAATGAGGATAATCATAATAGTCACAGGGAGGTCCATGCTTCTGTACCACTTAGAGGTCAGAAATGCTTTCACAGCCATTAACCGCTTGCCCTCAGAGCATCCGCGCCCATCTCAGTGGGTTGTCAGGAAAATCAAAGGTTTCCCCCAGGAAATGAGACTACTGGCATGCCCCACTTTAAGCAAAACCTGCTGGGATCATTTAGGTAAAGAAAACCTGCCCCACAGAGGAATTTAACGGGGCTATTTGGAATGACCATTCCCGCAGCATGCAAAGCAATAAGAGACAATTTACTAGAATGCTTGATTGATTGACATCTATCTTGTTTAGGACCAGCTGCATGTCTGCAGCATCTCTTGGGTGCTGGTTGTGGTTGTTGGTGATGGGAGAAGTCAGCGATGAGTCCAACAGAGTCTGAGATAGGAGAATTTTGTGTGTGTGTCCATTTTCTGATCTCTTTGTTGAGCACACTGATGTCAGAAACTGCCTTCTAGGGGCTGAAGAGATTGCTCAGTAAGCAGAGTGATCATTCCAGAACCCACGTAAAAAGCTGTTGTGGTGGCATGTGAATGCTTAAAATATTGGTTCTGGGAAGGTGGAGACAGTAGGGACCCTGGGTCTTGCTGGCCAATCAGCCTAGACAAGTCAACGATTCCCTGGTCAGTGAAAAACCCTGTCTCAAAGACCAAGTTGGACAAGGTCCTGAGGGATGATGCCACAGTGAAAGGTAAGTGAGTTCTCCTCTCTTCTACTTGCACACACACACACGCACAACACACACACACACGCACACCTGCACATATGTAAACACACGCACACAAACAAGAAACTGCCCTATAAGCCTTAGATGATCCGAACACCACTCACCACTCATACTAGGATGGAGCCCTTCTCTGACACCCCAGTCATAGAACTGGCCCCAGAGGCTGTCCTTTACAGAGTGCACAGCTGCAACGTTAACACTCAAACATAGCCCATGGTCATGTTTGCTCTCTGGAGAAAGCTGCCTTCACTGAGGGAGAAGGATAAACACACACACACACACACACACACACACACACACACACGGAGTGTATAGACCAGGGAGGGGGAGGGTCCTGCTTCCTCCTGGGCTGCTTTCCTGGACCTCATGATACCACTCTACCTATGAATGTACTGTCTGACTGTGCAATGATCCAGAAGCTGCTTCAACCAGGGTTTCCTTTCCTCGCAGTCAAAGGCATCGCTGGTAGACTCCGCTAAAGGGAAGCAAGATGCACATGCATTTGCAAAGGCGGTTCAATATGTGTGTTTAGAGTTGGGCTGCAAACAGAGGAAACAACCGCAATTGGAAATACACAAATGCTGACCCAAGGGAGATCAGTTAAATCAATATTGGAGTGCATCTGCTGTGGTCTGAATCTGAAACATCCTATGCAGGCTCATGCTTTGAATCCTGGATTCCCACCTGTTGGCACTGTTCTGGAGAGCTGGCTAACATTTGGGAGGTGGGCTCTGACTGGCAGAAGTGGGTGGGTGGGTCTTTCAGGTTATGCCTGCCTCTGGTTTCCACTGCTCTTTCTGCTTGCTGGTCAACCAGGATGCCCCACCGTGTGCTCCCATGGACATATCTTCCCCACCACAATAGGCTGAAGTCCTAAAAACAGTGAGCCAAAACCAAAACCAAAACCAAAACCAAAAAACCTTTCCTCCATTATGGAGTTTCTGTATCTACCTTATAGATACAGTAAAGTAACTTGTACAGAAATCCATCCAAGAATATACGATGCAACGTCAAAAGAAGAAATCTGACTTTCTATTCTGATAAGGAGCTCTGGGTTTTGTGAGTTGTGCATGGAATGCTGGCCATGGGATGCAACATCAGGACCAGACAGGCTGCTCTGGGGTAAATGGGATATGAAGTGGTGTGTTAGCCACTTTTCTCAGGGTTTGTTTTGCCTCATAGTCTGAGTATAGTCTATCACGGCCAGTGAGCCAGCAGGAGCGTGAGACCTCTGGTGTCATTGTATCTGCTGTCAGCGGGCAGAGCAAGAGGAATCCTTGTATTCTGCTTACATTCTTCCTTTTATTCTGTCTCAGATCCCAGCCCAAGGAATGGTGACATCCACCTCAATTAACTGACTTAAGTCTTCCCACCTCAATTAACAGACTCTGAAAACTCCTGATATAGAATTCTCATCTCACTTTGATTTCTAATAGCTAAGATGAGACATGGTAGATGGCCAGACTGAGGGACACTTATTCAATGGAGCACTGCTTAGCAATAAAAAAGAATGAGCTACTGATATAAGCAATATGCTGAGCTGACCACCATGCGATGTGTGGTTCTGTTCATAGAACTCCCCTTCTTCCTTCTCTCCCTCCCTCCCTCCCTCTGGTAAAAGGGAGGTCCTTTATGTATTGTTCATCCCATTGTCAGGACTGTGGTTTTCGTGCTGTGCTATTTTAAAGGGACCACAGTGAATTCCCCGGGTATATGAAAATTTTCTGCACATTTGTGTAACCTCAATCTAAAATTGTTAAAGTTAGGGGTTGGAGAGATGGTTTATCAGTTAAGAGCACTGGCTGTTCTCCAAGGGGACCCGGGTTCAATTCCCAGCATCTACATGGCAGTTCATAACTGTCTGTAACTCCAGTTCCAGAAGATCTGATCCCTTCATGCACATAAAATGGTTAAAATTGGTTTTAAAAAGGTGAACAGTGTATATGTATATAACGTATACCTTTCTTTCTTCCTCTTTCTAGAAGTTAAGACGTACAAGGCACTTAGTGCTCTGTATCCAGAAATGCGTGGATTGTGCTCTTCCCACATCTCTACAGACGATGGGTTGGAACCTGAATCCACACCTGTCATTCCCCCAAGCCTGTGCTGCCTACTTCGTCTGTTTCCTGCCTCAGTTTCCTTTTGCTTCCTTCTCTGTTTCCAGCTGTGAGAAGGAAGGAGAAAAGGAGGCCAGCCCATACATCACCTGAATGTGTATCTGGACAATGGCCCAAATATCACTCCCTGTTCTAGGAGGGGAGGCTATGACCACTCTGGGTTGAGGATCAGTGTGTTCCATCACTATGGCCAAGGAACAGACACAGCCATCATGTGACCTGTGGTGAGAATGTGTTTCAGTATAGTAAATTTATTTCCCATTTGGCATGATGTTTTCTGTTTTCTATTAAATGAATAGCCTCAGAGCATCCTGGAGAGAGTACATAGCAGGCTGTGGGGCTTCCAGGACTCTTGGGAAAGTGAAATTGCCACAGTCCTCTTCCAGGATGGAGGGTGCTGAGGGATAGAGTCCTAGCATATGTGTGTCAGGGGGAGGGGGATCTGAGAGTGAAGGAGGGGTGGGAAGATGAGCAGTTTGGGCCCTGGTAGGAAAGTGAGGAGCCTCTCTACCTCACAAAACTCTGTCATCTGGGTTCAGCTCAGCTGTGCCCCGGAGCTTGACCTTGTGATTGTCCTTCCCAGCTCTCTTTTCCTCTACTCAGTGGCTGTCACTCTAGGTCACTTCTACTTTTAACCTTCTCAGAACCTCAGCACCGGGAAGCCTGGTGAAGGGGATAGAAGGGATATTGGATGCTTTCTGTTGTTTGAGATAGGGTTTATTTCAGGTTGGTTCTGGGCTCATTATGTAGTCCAGATGGGCCCTGACTTACCATGCCTCACCTCAGCCTCCTCAGCCATGATTATAGGTATGCTCCAGCACATCCAGGCAACATCCAACCCAAACATCCTGCTCCCTCAACCCAAATCAATATTTTGACGGAGCTAATTGGTGTATAAGGAAGAGGATGAATAACGGTTGGGATGGGGTTTGAAATGGATGCAATATTTCTTCAACAAACATCATTGAAAACTCTTGCTTTGTTGTAGGTCTTTTCTTAGTTGTTTTGTACATAGGACATGTAATCTGTGCCTGCCAAGGGATTCAGCATTATGAGGGGGCAGCTGAGAAGATGAGGGGAATGTAGTATGTTACAGAGAGAATCATCTTGCTAGTGAAGAGCTGGGAGTCAGAAGGGTGGCAGAACTCTCCTCAGAGAACATCTCTTCAGAGTATGCCTCTTATCTCCTCAGAGAAAGTCTTTCCAAAGAAGGTATCCTCAGAGGCTCAAGCCTGTCTTTCACCCGAGGGAAGAAACAGTTTGATTTCTGATGTAGAGGTTTCAAATTTATCCTATATTGAATGTATTTTATTTGGCCACATAAGGTATGTAAAAAGCTATCAGTTCCAATTACAAAAATGAGAGATTTTGCTCAAACCCCTGGGACTCTGATCCTGAAGACAGCAGGCAGGACCACATTTTGCTGAGTGAGTGACAGTGGCGCTGGGGGCCTGGCTTTCCCAGCTCTACGCTCGGATAGCCTGATCGTGTGCCCTACCTGAGAGTCTCTAAGTCCGGCTGCTGGTCTGTTATAACATATGGGGTCACCGGCAGGCTAGGAGGGTTCCGCCTTGTCTAGCAGGGGGAGGCCTGCCAGGGTCTCCATTCTAGGGAGCCATGGTGTGTCTAGGTCCCTGAACGAAGAGCCCTTCCCAACTTCCCTGTGTGTCCTCCAATTCGAATAGTTTCCCTTTTTCTATTTGCTCCTCTGAAAAGTCCCCCAGATCCTCCCGCTTATTAACAATCTGCACACCATGCTGTGCTTAAAGTTCAGAGCACCATAGGATACGGAGCCGTAATTAATCTCAGTCCCTGAGTTCTAGAACATGGAGAGCAATTATAATTTACTGTCGGAAAACCAATTTAGGGAAGTGGTGGTTTTCGCGCCCCTGATCAGAGTGCCACGAAATGCCACTTCCTGTCCCTGTGTCTCCTGCCAGGAGAGCAAGACCTTTAGTTGCTACAGTTCTGGGGGTGGGGTGTTGATTCCTTTGGCAGAGAAGACTGTGGGAGCTGGGCCCATAGTTCCTTCTGCCATCCTATCCAGCCCAGACTCACTGTTTCCCTCTGGCCCCTTCTTCCTCCCAGCACTGCCCTGTGTAGGCTTTCAGGGCAGACACCAAGGCCCCACTCCTTTCCCTGCTGCTGTCCCAGCAACCCAGGCAACCCTAAAGCTTACAGCCCCCCAGAACTCTCCATTATCTCTTATTTCCTCTTTGCTCAAGGTCAAATTGTCATCACATCAAAAGGACAATGAGAAGACAGGCCCCGTGCCTTAACAGATGAATTCCTACCGTGCCACAGCTGCCATGCTGGGCAGGCAGCGTTTGTGGCCGGGAGCAGCTGTGCTTCCCAGGGTTTACTGGCTTGTCTGCCCTGCTGCCCAGTCTAAAGCCACATCCTAGTTATCCACTGACCCCAGAACTCAGAGCCAGACCCTAAACAGAGAGGATTGTATGGGCTGGTAGGGTGTGTGTGTGTGTGTGTGTGTGTGTCTGTGTGATTAACTTTACAGAAACATTCTAGCCATGAGGAAGAACTTGATGGTGGCCTGTCTTCCTTCCTTCCCTCCTTCCTTTCCTCCCATCCTCTCTCCCTCCCTCCCTTTCTCTCTCATTCTTCTTTTCCTTCCTGGTATCAGAAACTGTGCTATTATTGAAGGCATTGAAATGACTATATCAAGACTAGGGATGAGAGTGTTTGCATAGTGTGTGTGGGACCAAAGGTACAAGACCTAGTGTCACAATAAAGACAATCAAATGGGGATAACTTTTTTTTTGAAAGAACCCATCACACAGTGCTATAAGAGCAGGTGCAAGGGCTGCAGGAGCATGGTGGGGTGACCCTGGGGCAAAGCCTGGCTTTCTCTGTACTGATCCCCAGCTCTCTGGTGTTCTACTCCCCATCCCTCATGGAGAAGGAGGGACTCATCACACTGAACAGTGCTTTGGGTGAAAGATTCTGTTTTTGATATCTTCAGGCAAAGAAGGCTCCAGAAGGGTAGGGCAGGTGGGAGGGGCAATGTGGATGGGTGGACTCTGGGGCCCACAGTGCTTCTGTGGTGCAGAGTGACAGAGAAGAGACAGCTAGGAGGAAATATGCAGAGTCTAAGAGGCTTATGGGGCAGAGACACACAAAGCAGCTCCCTGGGGTCACAGAGGAGGTCACAGCCCTGCTACTTCCAGGAGTGAGGTAGACAATAGAACTCAGGACAAGAGGCACGGGGCTAGAGAGACCAGCGAAGAACTGAAAAACAGGGCTCAACATACTCTTAGCCAAAGAAACACTTCCTGGGCTGTCAGGTTTAATTTCACTCTGACCCCTACTGAGTCCTATACAATGGGCCATGTGACACTAGGGACAAGTCCTGCCTCAGGTTCCTCAGCTCTGCCAGCAGTTTGGTTTGAACAAGCACAGGTGTCTCCTGCTCTGTGCCTCAAGTGTCTTGTCCATTGCTCTCCTGTGATGTCCACCTGCCAGAGCAGGAATGAGAAATATGTGACCATGAGTTATCACAGTACCAACTGCGGGGCCTTGATGATGCAGTTCAGGAAAGATGCAAGTATAAATGATGCTGTCGACAACTGTGAGTGCCTGTGGGATACTGGGCCCTGTTCTCAATAAAAATTATCTCATCACTGTCTTATGCAGAGGACAAAATTCATCTCCATTTTATAGGAGAGACAAGTGAGGTCCAGAGAAGCCAGGCAACCTATCCAAGGCTGCAGAGCAGACATGTGGCACAGCTGGACTGTGAACCTGAGCGGCGTGACCTCCAGGTCCACGTACTTTCTTTTCTGTCACCCTTACTTCCCTAGGGGACAGTCTCCTTACAAGAATGTTCCAGCTTCTGTTTGTATTAAGTCTGTTTTGGCAGCCCATCGGCAAATGCTCTACCAGCGTGTTCCCTGGTCCCATTCCAGTTTGATCCAAAAGAGTTTGGATTAATTCCCTCCTTCAACCTGGGTACCCTGGAACTCTGGTATATAACACCCAGGCCTTGGTCCTACCTTCTGGTCCTCAGAGGAACCTACGCTTAGTGGGCAAAATGTGGCCTGGAGCTGGAGACCCCAATCAGCACAGACAGCGATGTCCAAGTCACACTGATTGGCAGATGTAAATTTACATTCATAATGTAATTTGGGCCAATTGAATTGTCGATGAAATGAGTCACTTGACAAGTGGCAAGCACTCTGGAGGGTGACTGGGAAGACGAGAGGCCCTTGAGATGTCTGGAGCGAAAACACGCTTTTGTTTTTGAAGGAGGTGGCCACTTCCCAATTCCACATTCTCGCAGCTTATCCTCCACGCTCCAAGCTCCCATTCCCTCCAGGTCACAGCTGGGACTGTTGAGATGAAAAACTTATTAGCTGTTTAAATCTTAGGCAGCGAAGTGAGCATGTGTACGGTACAGGTGGAACAGCTGGTCGTGGGGGGGCAGTCAGGACATCTCCCTATGGCAGGTGACTGGACCAAAGGCTAGGCTTTGAGTCTGAGTAGTAGGACCCCACACCAGTGTCTAGTAAGGAAGGTGGGCTTTGGGGCTATAGGGAAAGCATGTAGTTCCTTTAGGACAACATGAGTCTGGATTCTCATCCATGGACCTGCTTCTTGGCTATGTGACTTTGAGTACCTGGCTCTATTTCTCTGTTCTTTGGCTTCCCACTCCATAAAATGGGGAAAATGTTCTGCCATCATTTTTATATTTTTCAAGGTACCAAATTCCTCACTGACCCAGGTGTTTGCACAGGTTGTATCTGACATTCTTTTCCATCCTCCTGCCTCCTCCTTTGTCTCTTTCCTAAAATAGTTTACCTTCAGTGTGCTGGGACTTCTTTGTCCAGTCACAGACCAGCTTTGTGTTCTTCATGTCCTGTAAGTCAATGTTCCTATAGTTATGCACATCCACCAACCCCCAGGCCAAGCTTTAAGCTCCACAGAAGCAAAGACTGTGTCTTTTTTATTGCAGACCCCAGTGGTGGGTGCAAAGCAGACACGGAAAACATGGGCATTGTAGGCAACCAACGCCTTCAGTTCCTGTTAGTCCTGAAGATCACTTCTCAGATGCTCTAAAGAGCGAGAGCAAGGCTGGAGGGGCCTCCTGCGGGTAGGGCTATCGCTAGTCATTTTCAGCTCTCAGCTCTCCGACCCTTACCTGATAGGAAGTTCTTGGGTCAATTTGGCTTCTTGTTCACTGAGGCATGCCTAGTGACGACTTAAGCATATATAGTGGCATGGGATAACAACTGTCCATGG